GCTAAATAATAAATACTCCTCAAATAATGGATGAGGAAGTGCCTTGAAAATCATGCCAACATTTGCTCCACACAGACAAACTGTGCTGGCGGAGTGAATGAAGGTGGAATCTCTCCAACAGAGAAGAGGCACTGAACAGCATAGATGGTGAACATAATGAAACCACAGACCGGAGCTTCATGGAGCCTGGGGCTATGCCCAACCTCCTTCATTTAGCTGCTTTAGGAGAAACATTCGACTCTAAAGAGTTTTCAAACTTATGTAAAGGGAAGAAGTCAGTTCTACTGTTTACCTTGCAAATCATCAAGACAGAGTTAAAAAAAAAATAAAAAAAAATGCCTGAGCTGTAAAATCCAGTCCCTAAACAGTATAAACCACAGACCACTACCTGAAGCACCATAGGCCCACCTGCTGTCCCACGCTCCATAAACACCACACACACACTGCAGAGTGTGGTGAAGCTGCGTGGCCTCCCCAGTCAGCAGGTGCTTCCATCCAAAAGCTCCATAAATATTACGAGCTGATGCCAATCAGTTCACTTAAAGTAAACGACAAAGCACAGCTGTTTAAAGCACCAACTACTGAAGAACGCTACATTCACCCGAGTTGCTTTAATCCATTTTGGCATATCATCAGCTTGTTTGTCTGCCATAGCCCTGTCATTCTTATGGAAGAATAAAGGTTGTTAAAGAGGGGCAAGGCCATTTAAAGCTTTAAAACCAAATATCAGAAGTTTAAAATCAATTATAAAATGAACTAGAAGCCAACGAAGAAGAAAAAGATCAGGGGCTATGGAAATGAAGTCAATGGGAGTGGAGTTTATGGGCTGGAAAACCAAAACAATGAGATAAATAAGAAAAATTGCATTTAGGTAATGATTCTGTGGACTTGTCACTAGGATCATCTTCTTTCACATCAGTCATTTGGTCCACTGTTTAGACAGAAACACTGGCTGGAGCAGCCTTGATATGACCAATCCTCTATCAGTGTCCTCCAACTCCACCTGGTCCTCCCAGGTCAGCTGGGAAACCATCCCGCCAGGGTGTTTGCACCGAGGTCCAGCTGGAACACTTCCAGAGGAACGGGGGTGGGGTGGGGGTGTGACCTCCACTGGCTTCTCTCAGCATGGAGAAGCAGCTGGACCACACAAAGATCCACTCATATCGCTGAATTCCTCATTGTGCGAGGCGTGAGGCCAGTCAGGCTGTAGAGACACTCAACTCCACTGTTCATTTTCTGTTCACCGCTCAAAAGCAGTGACTGCAACAAGAGCAATTATATATACACACAGGATATTATTTGTCAGTATTCCAGCAACAAGTTGAGGAACAGCGATGGCTACAGATAGAGATTACAATCAAAGACGAAGCAGTAGAAGTGAAACTCGGGCTCAGGGAGCACAGTGGAACATCGTGCAGCTCCTCCTGCCGGGTCACGGATCATAGACCTTTGCCTCATATACGTATAGCGGCTCAGGGTTAGTGGCTAATTGACAGTAAACTGCAGGTTCATCTGTGACGCACACAAAAAACATGTGGCCACCTGGCAAGAGAAACCACATTGCTAAACTGCACCTTATTCAACAAGTGACACTGTATAAAACTCTACAGTAACTATAACCTTAGCTGTAGATGCTGGTGGTGATTCCAACCAGTCTAATACAATGTGACCTTTGTACTTTTACCCTCTGTATCTTTCAGTAATAATAACATTGGTGTGTACACCGTTTACAGACTAACTTCCTGGTTGCACTTTGACTTACTTAATGGCAGCTGTGTACATAGGGGTTTTTTGTACAATGACGGAACACAGGTGTCTTCTCTTTCAGTTTAACCTCAAGTAAAGGGACTGTTGGCTGATTACAGTCCCTCTGAGGATCTTTCCTTGTCTGACTTTGTTTCAATGTGTTTCCAGGTCTTTGGAGGCTACATTATAGTACAACCAACGGCCAAAACCAAAAAAACATCCTCTAAATTCTGCTGTTCTAAATGATTTGAATGTGACCGTAGATGACATCTAAATCTCGGAGAATGCAGGTTACTTAAGTTTATGCACAATACACAGGATCAGGTCTATGGTGCAGCAGAGTGTAAAAAAAAGCACAGCTGCAGACTTTAGTCCTGTACACATGCAGCCTCACAGAAGGAGCAGCACCAGAGTATTTCACAAATGAAACTCAAGTTTGAGTGAAACTGGTTTTGGCCAAGGGAAAACATATACAAGCTTACTTAAGAATCATAGATGAATATTCAGATAAATGATTAAACATAAGAAATGTGAGTTTGCACAAAACACAAGCAGTCCTGTAATTGTTTCTCCACTGGCAACATTCCAGCCGCCAACAGCATGCTCGCTGGGGAAGTTTGCTGAGGGTGAGACAATTATACATTGCTTAACTTCATGTGTGTGTGTCAGCTCCCATACAAGTTCCTCAACTCTTTTTGTTCTTTCTGGTTGGCTGTGCTTGTAGCAAAGCATCATGGGAAGAGGGGGCACCCCTCAAGGCCACATGTCAGTAAGATAGGAACTGACTGGTTGACAACACACAGAGATACACAAAGTTTAAGATAATACTCAAGCAGAATGAGGATGAAATATATAATCTATAGTTACCCTGATGGTGTGTATGAAGGAATGAATCCCCTCAGGCCGAAACATAGCCGTTCTACCAGTGAAAACAGCCTCAGCATGTGGAGGACACAAATTTACTCTCTGGAGAAAGCCTCCAACAAACCCAGTCTCACACTCATGCAAACAACCCAGCAGACACACGTAAAGATGCAGATAACGTGCACAATATCACCAATGTAAACTCACAAACAACATGACAGAGACAGACAAAATGTTCTCTACCCTGCTCCCTGATATTTCAGCTCTCATGCTACTTCACTGTTGTGCATCTACAAAGGCCGGCGGGTATTTCCAAATGCAACTCAAAGCTTGAGGAATCATCTGTGTTTCCACAAGAAATGGCTGTTATTATTATTCCAACTACAGGCTCCAGTTGACATGAAACAGATCAATTCTGGCTGGAACAAAGTGCTCGATCAGCCAATGTAAGCAGGTGTGTTGCCATTTTCTACAAATGTGCACATCTATTACAGTAAGTCCTGGAACATGGAAGTGCCCTTGTGATGTCTCTCATTTGAAAAACAAGCCTTGTTCTCTCCTGAAACTACTCTGGTTCAATAAACGGTACAAGATGGTATCAGTTCCACACAGATTCTTTACAATACAAATTCAATACAGCTCCCAACAGTCAGTGGATGCTATCAAAAACCTCAGCGGAACTACTGATTTTCAATTATTAATGATGAGGTTTTCTAATTTTACTTGCAACTATTGACAGCATCATGTCTGAGTTGGTCAGAAGGGGTTAGAGCCCCACGATGAAAAAATACATTGTGCAACCAGAACAGAAACAGGCTGGGAGCTCTTCCAGGTCAAACTGAACTTATTGTGATGTGTACTTGAAGCTAATTTAATACACAATAGCTGATGTTTACAACCATGAAGAAAGGGCAGAAATCCAGGTGACCACAGAGGACACCTGGGCTGTCAGCCTGCACACAACCTCTGGCTGTTTTTGCTCAGACTGTGTGTAGTCAGCCTTGAATTTCTGGTGGCCATCATTTAAAGTCTGCTTGTGTTCAGCTCGAAGCGTTGTGCAGCTTCTGACCTCTGTGGTTTGGAGTTTACTCGCATTCCTACCGTTTGTACTTTCAAACATCAACTGTAATGCAAACTGAAACCTTCCAGCTGCTGCTGCTTCATATTAAAAGCTTTCCACTGGTGAAGCAGCAGGTAACTAACTGTAGACAATGCACGTGTCACAAACTTGGAGCCCACTGTCGATGCTCTCAGGATGAAAACAGTCTACACTTAGCTCAGAGCCCATGTATCAGGCTTTGAATGCACACATAATACCTGTTAGTGGGATCAATTCATTGTTGGTTTTGGGCTTTTCATGGTATCTAATACACTTATCCTTTAAGAGGCCAATTAAAGGAGAACATTAAAAATGAAGGTGAGACTAAGCACATTAATTATTATCACAATGTTTAAGAGGAAACCAAAAAACTAATTTCATAACTGTATATACAACAAACTTCACCTGAGAAAAACAAACACAGTGAGAGAGGGATGAAAGCAGAGAAGAAGACAGAAAGAGAGAGACCACCCACCATGGCAGTAAGTGATTGCTGTGTTGACTGTGTTTGACACCACTGCTCTTCAGAGGCAGCATCTCTCTCTCTCTCTCTCTCTCTCACACATACACACACACACACATTAGCAGCATACCCAGAGGTAGCAGAGTGCAGGACAGGCATGACTAATCAATCGTCCTCGCAGCAGGCGGCAGGCTGACTAGAGGATTAAAGAGACTTTGAGACTGCCGATTCATCTGTGGCACTGCAACACTGTTACACTTCCACAGCTCATGAAATCGTATACAAACCACATGCACACACTGCTTTGTTCCTGGTTTTGTCCACTGCATTGAACATCAGGCGTGTCCCCAAACACAGCCATGTCTCTGATAAATGCTGGTAACTATAGGCAACCAAAACACACTGCGAACACTCAATATGGTCAGTAACAAATTCAAACATTTACCAAATATACAAAGTAAATATTATAGTACAAAAAATGACCAAAATTAACCTGAAACCCAGTAAAATCTGTTCAGACACACACTGCTCACACCCAAATCGAACACAGAAGCAGCCCCCACTCTTCAACATTGTATTTCTGATCAGGTCACAACTGTGTGATGCTTGTTAATTGTTTTGACTTAAACCTAATTTAGATTTTTTTTTTTTTTTTTTTTTTTAAGTTTTTGGCCAAAATGCACTTCTCTGAAAGTCTATACCTCACGTCTCATTCATCACCTGATTAACTGACACTCATGCCAATGTAAAAAAAAAAACCCAAACAAACAAAAATACTGTTGGTTCACTCACTGGTCTGCGACACGTTCACCATCACAGGGTTGGACTCACCCCCCTCACCCCCAACCTGTACTCTCCCACTCCTGTCCGCTCCAGGCTAGCCTCCCCTCGCCTTCCCTGCGCCCCGCTCGACGACGTGTTTGAGATCACCACCCCGCTGTGCTCCATGGTGATGATGTCCCGGTTGTTGGCCAGCCAGGTCACCTCCAGGGCGAGGGCAGGCAGGTTGTCAGCGGTAACAGAGCAGACGAGGGCCAGCGTGTTGCCAGGGGAGAGGAGCAGAGAGGTGGAGGAGGGAGAGGAGGAAGATGAAGCACTCACAGTGAGGGACTGACCTTGAGAGGACAGAAACAGAGACAGCATCAGCTCCTTCATCCTGTGTACAAGCACATACAGGCTGGATTAACAAACAGTACTTTGTTTGCACAGTGTAAATGACCCTGCTGCATTAATTCCTCTGCACAGAGACAATACTGGACACTGCTGAATGTTGCAGCATTACTGTATATTCCCTTCACTTTGATGCAGAAAAGCTTGAGCTGCAACAGTTGATAGATGAGTGGTACACACACATACCTGAGTCTGGTATTTATTTATAATGCATTTATTATTGGGGAATCATTTCAGGAACTGATTGGATTAATCAGAATGAAGTCATTTTTAAAATGCTCAAACTCACTGGATATAAATATTTCCTGGGTTTTTAGGCTTTAGTGATGTCAAACTGGATATTTTGGACAAAAGCAACTTTTTTTGACTGTGGCCCCAAAACGTCATGACATTTCACTGTATGCGTTAATGGAACACATTAGGAGCTTCCCCAGAAAAGCTGGATCAACGAGTTAATCAAAATGATCAGATTTAAATTCTGTTAATTAATAATAAAATTGTCCTTTAGGTGCAGTGAAAATGTGTAGAGCTGAATGAGATAGAGAAGGAAAGTCAAGTAAAAACTGAAAAAGAGGAAGACCGTGATGTGAATACGTTTAGAGAGAAAACCATCAAAGTTACATTTAATTGGACAAGACAGTATAAACTCTTACAAGGCAATGTCAACAGCCATCAATAAATGTCAAAGCGTTTTTGATTTCCCCAAACATTCCTTCAGGAGTCATGCTTACAAAGCACTTTACAATCCTCTCACAGAAAAGAAGTTGGACAAACAAACTCGGTGTCAGTTTGTTCTGTGTATCTTCAAACCAACAGTCGGAGCAGGGGTTCGGACTGCGGCTCCAGTAACGACCTAGACAGCAGTATGTGGAGAAGAGGCTCTGTACGGTGTCTGGAGAAGGACAAAAGAAACAAAGCCCACTCTGTTTGACTCTTCTCATCCTCTTTACTCAAGTCTGTGAGTCAATATGAACTGACCGGGACACAATGGACCTGAGACTGAGACCTGTGCATGTGTGTGTCACTCATCTGTGGTTTCATTACAAATCACTGGGAGATTTCTAGCACTTAAGAGGCCATGTAGCCCAGAACGATATAAGATATGGTGTCCACAGCAACCACAGTGAATGATTGAGTGTGTGGGGCCTCCCTAAAGACAGAAAAAGACAGAAAGACAGCCAAGATCCTGAGCCTCCCGGGATGAAGCCAGGAGAAGATGAAGAAAGCCTCACAGCAGAGGAGAGAATGCCAGTGCAACAGAGACAGGGGGAGAACTCTCCCACGTCCTCCCTCTCTGCTCAGCCTCCATTTGCTTTCAGTATCACTCCATATCCAGCACAGAAAACTGCACATACAGTGCTGCAACCTCTTTTATCACAAATCTAGACTGAGATTTGAAGATCATCTATAGCTCCCCAGGGAAATTATCACCAACTCTTACTACTATTACTACTGCAGCTGTAATTACTGACAGGGCTGTGCGGGGAACCTCGTCATGCCGGGCCACACTGATTCAGGAGCAGCTTTTAAGCTCTGCCAGTTCAAAATGTACACTGCCCCTGTGACCCACACCCCCAAGATGCCAGGAAGGACCTCCTGGAATCACCAGAAGAGAATAAATAAATAAAAACGGGCACAATTGCCAGACTCCAGTTTTAAACAAGTAACTCATGCCTTTTGTCCTGTGTGGCAGCACCATGAACACAACTTTGGGTGATGGTGCTCCATGATGTCACAAAACACTTCACCTTTGTCTTGCAAAGCTAATTATTAAATTATTAGAGGATGTAGTGAAACCTTGTAAACATACACATTTCTTATGGAATCAGAAATACTGACTGCATGTTAAAGGGAGAATGACAGGGCTTTTCATTGTCCTAAATGGAGCACAGATACACAGATTAATGGAGTTCACCTCTAGTAGTAAAGCAGGGCACGGCAGCTGTTCAGGATTAGACTCGTTTATAGTAGCTGCTACTTGGTTCACTCACTTCGATTCCTAAAGGCCGTTTTCTAATCATGCAAGTGATTTTTATATGCGACTTACTGTCCAAGTGACAGAGCCAAGAGTCATCAGTTTAATCACCTTCTAGCCTGTACGCTGACACTCACAGCTCCACTTTCAAACCTGAACAACATCCAACCACAGTGCAGAGAATTAGCAGCTGCAGTGCAAACAAACATTGGCTTCTTAAGGATGTCAAACGATGAAAAGAAACAATAAAGTGACACCACAGAGTCCTCCATGCTGCATCTCCAGTATAAACGCTGCAGCAACAAATCCACGACTCTGCTTAGCAAATGAAGTATTAAAGCTTTGACTCTATGATTTTACAGTGAAGTGTATGAACGTACACTATTTAAGTGACAGACTGTGGAGCTATGGCAGCAGAATGGCACAGCATAACTACACTTAGCCACAGGTAGACTGAACTCTTGTTAGTGTGTGAACATGATGCTGGTGTACAGGAATCTTCCAGCTCTTCTAAGTGCTTCAAATTAACATGCTAAATGTGGTTTGTTTGAGCCGTACTCCAGCTAAAATATAAAAATCACTCATGCGAGTATCTAGTGTTCACTTGAATGAAAACAAATAGAAGACAAATAAGTACTAGAAGAAGTTACAGGGAAACAGAGACATGCACGTTGAGTCTACAGCTCTGTGAGGCTGTACTAAGGCACAGTAGTGCTTTGAGCTAAATGCTACCACGCAGATGTTCAGGTATGACTGTTTACCATGTTCACCATCTTAGTTTAGTGTGCTAACATGCTCACATTCACTAATGAGCACTAGAAGTGCAGCTGAGGGCGATGGGAAAGATTTTTGGTCATAGACCAAAATGCAGGGGATTCATCCTGAAGGGAACATGAACATCTGTAACAGCTTCCATTCAATATGTGTTAGATGATAGATCAGATTTGTTAATGCGGCTGCTGAGACTGTGTCTATTACCTGTAGGAATAACGCCAACAGTTCCCATCTCCTTGGTACTCTCTACGATTTTTACCCATCTCCCTTCATTTTCGTTTGTCCACTCTGCTCCACTGCAGGTGTAAGTCCCGCTATCAGATGTCGTCACTCTGGTTATCACCAGCTCAAACAACCCATTCTTCCCAGGGACCAGTCGGATGCCTCCGTCAGCGTAGTGCCGGACAAACTTGGCACCTGGACTCACGTCGCCCTGAGGACCAAATGTGAGGATTTCCTCTGATGCTGCTCCGCTCTTCACTGACCAGGACACGGACAGGTAGGTGGGGTTGGTGAGTGTCCGGGTGACGTTGCAGGAAAGCGTGAGGTCATTTCCCTCTGGAACTTTAGGCGTCGGGGTCTGGGAGGAAACCTTCAGGGTGTTGGGGATGACTGCCGGGAAAAAAGACAAAACCAAAATTACAGGAGTTTATCAATAACAATATAACAAAGTGAACATCACCAAATACAACACACACAGTGAAGACTATGTACATGGAGATCCAGGATAAACTTAGCATGAATTCATTTAGGATTTTACACCACTACCAAGTAAATACTTGAGAAAAATGTATGTCTAAATACTGGGAATTCTGCCCATATAATAGACCAGTCCATTTGCTTGGTGTGTACACATACTTAGCAGATACTTAACACTTGCTACAGCTAATCAGTATAAGAAATAAAGCAAATGACATAACAACATAACCATGTGAAGCAATGCCATTTCCTGTGCTGCTCTGCCTTCCCCAGCCCTCCAACCCTGGAGCCTGAGAGGCTTGTTTGATTAGCACAGACATGGTAAAATGGATGTGTAGCCATGTTAAATAAAACAAAGGCATCAATGGGAAGTTGAGAGGAAAAAAGACAAAATTTCACCTTAAGTAAAGGTTTAAGACTCAAGATTAAACCATTAAATGCAGATATTTATTGGGTTGAGTGACAATAACCTCTCACATTCCACCTCATTGTGTCACACTCATGTTAACTACAGGTGACTTATCAACACAGTAAATGTCTCCCACAGTGTAGTACTCTTGTGAAGGTCACTGGCTGAAGGAGAGCCAAACACACGACACCAGATAGGGCTGTAAACGTGCGCCTTTGTATTACTTACATTACGGGGACCGAAACCTGTTAACACACTCACACTGTGGAGACTTGGCCATCCGAAATCACTGAATTTTAAACATGGTTTAGGGTCAGGGTTAGGCAAGTAATGGTTAAGGTTAGGAAAGGTCTACACTGACTTACATTCATTTGCTGTAAAGTCCCTACAAGGAATGAAAACACAGCGTGGGTGTGTGTGGGTGTGTGTGTGCAGGAAACACACCCAGAGAAGCGTTCATAAAGATTGATGGCTTGCCTGCTCAGGTAACACAGTGCGAACTTCCCCTCTCACACAGACACATTCACCAGTCTTTCACTCTGGGCTTGTTCTGATACCGAAAAGATTTTGATTCTTGGCTGCCAAGTGTGAGGTTTGATGCTTTGAGCAGGTCTTAACAGAGCAGATTTTACCACTTCTTCTCTTATAACACCACACAGAGCACGCTTGTGAGTTGCTCTGTGAGAGGAAATTAAAAAACCGAGGAACGAATCATTGCTGGAGATCCTGTTGGGAGCACGGTTTTGCCTCTAATGCATCCACAACAACAGCATTACAAATGAGTTTTACCTCTGCTTTAAGTGGGAAAGTAAAAAGAAAAGACATTAGATGCTTTGATGAATGGCATGTCTGCAGTAAAGACATGGGGGGTTGATAATAAAACTAAGTATCAGGCTCAGTAATGCTGTTGGATGAGCTCTAGAAAACAAATTACAGGATCGGTTTCATCATCATCATCAATGTATTCTGATCTTTTTCATGTGAAAACACAAAATGTCCCCACAAAGAGAAGTCAGGTTTGTCCGCATATGCTATAAGGACTCAACATATATCACAAATAATCACAAATTAAACACTACACTCCTCACATTCCTCCTAGAATATTTACATAAATGGTGAGTAATCCCTTTTGGAAGAAAGCTCTTGTCGTGTTACAAATGAATCCAAGTGGCAGATGGCTCGTGCTACATTCATATCCTGTGGGAAAACCCAGCATCCAGAAAGAAAAGCAACTCATCTTTAGGTGGTAAATAAAACTCACTAATACTGCAATACAGTGTGTTTATGAAGGCTCATTTAAAGGAAGTATTGAGGGGTAAGTGACTAATGTTTGATGCACACAGTGTGCATTGGTTTGATGGCTGGACCATCCTGCCTGTCCTAAAGGTGTCCAGTAGCAGCTGCATATGCTGTTCCCATGTACCATACATTCTTTTATTATATTCTTATATATTTTTATTATATCTCTGCATTTGCTGCTTAAAGTGCCTTAGATTTTTGTGTTACTTATTTATCTACTTTATATTTCATTTGTATTATTGTGGTATTCATGTGGACGGCAAAGTAAGAATTTCATTGTACAGGGAAAGGCGTTTCCTAACTGTGCATATGACAGTAAACACATTGACCTTGACCTTTGCATCCTTTGAACCCCTTCTGCTTGCTTTTCACAACCTTTATTTATCACGTGAGAGTCGACCGAAACCAGCAGCTCCTGTCCACTCCCAACAGAAATCACCAAAACCTCAGAGCAGGATCAAGGGGCCAGAAGTGAGAAACGCCTCAGTGACTCAGGAGGAGGGAGGGTCCAGAGGCCAGCTGTGAGAACACCAAATGTTTGTCCAAAGGTTTTCAACATGCCACCAGAGACTGTCAGAGGACAGTGCAGGCGTTTTGTCGTGCATCATACAGTTACAGTGAGTGAGTGCTGCTGTCTGTGCCAAACAAAGCTAAAGTTAACACACTCTGGACAAGATCATGTTATGGTAGCTTAGTTTAACACGAGAACCGCAAATAAAAACCAAGGGGTTTATGTCGTTTTTTTTTATTACTGAGTATCTAAGAGTGCAGCAAGGTTGTGCATCAAGTACATGTGTCTGGTTTGCCCAAGAGCAGGTTTTACCTAGGTTTAGAGGGCTTAGGTGCAGTCATGGTTGGGGAGTTTGAAATTATTCTAAGGAAATTGAGCTATTTTAGTTTTTTCACCACTATCCTTACAATATTTGTGAAAGAACGCAGGCAACACTTATTATACATATAGACAAAAGTCTATGCATTCTGTTGTCAGCACACAATTCTCCCTGTTTGTAGTGTACATTCATTGTAATATGTCGCCTAAAGGCCTTTTTATGTTCATTTTAGAAGCTTCAATATGTAACGTAAGGTAGCGCTAGCTATGAAACTCCAAATCAGTCCACTTTGCTCCGCCCAGCACTTCCTCCCTCTCCCTGCTCTACTACCACGTGCTACACTCCGCCACGCTCTACCCAGCTCTTCAGATATTTGTTGTAACAAATTACAAAAAACGAGAATGCAACAAAAGTCACTGATCAAGCAGGACTAACTGGAAATTTCTGATTGGTCAGAGAGGTCAGTCCGGCTCCAAAACTTTTAGAAGCTAATATCTCTACACTGCTGCCAGTGCTGTTCAGTGAGTCTGGGCCACAGGAGGCTTCGACAGCACCTCTCCACATAAACACAAGTTCTGGAGCAGATTTCTACAACAAAAATATTTGGAAAAAAAAAGTTACATGCTGTAGCTTTAGGATACTCTATGGAGGAAAAACCTGATTTGACTGACTTATGAATCTAATCTAACAGTGTCAGGTTTAAAGGTTTCATCAGAAACACTGGTGCACTATATAAAATGTGGCTATACACAGGACAGTAGTGGACACCAGTAAGTACTAGAAGTCAGAGTGTACAGTGCTGCTGCAGTGACGCGAGCGTCTATGGCAGATTCCAAAGGCAGGACACATAATCAGCATTTTGCTCTATCAATTAAAATTAGCCTGAAAGGAGTTTTCAAACCCTCAGCGACCTCCACTTCACTCACTTCTTACATAACCAAATAGCCTCAGTGGAGCAATGGAAGCTCCGTGCGTGTGTGCACACACACAAGTCTCGACTGCTATAGACCCTCCAGCAGCAAATCTAACTCATCATCTCTGTTAACGATTGAATGTCTCCAACACAAACACACAAGCTCTCCCCTCTGCACACACTACAAAACACACTACTGGATAATACATATGCTCTACATGTACACAACAGTCTCCTTCACACATAAACAGCACTGCCTAGTTAATTCAGGGCTAAATATAACAAGGTGTCTGGGGAGCCACGCTTGGAAGCAGAGAGCAGCTGAACATGATGGCGTGTTGCAGAGCTAACTAACCTGCTGTCAGACGATCCCTGCTCGTGACTTCAGCTCACACGTCGGAGCTTTCATTGCTTCAAATGTTCCGGAAACACCTGATATCTGTCACTTCTAAAAAAGGAATTATCACTCAATAATATCCTGTGTGTGTGCGGTTGGGTTAACAGTAAGTCAACACAGTCAACACAGTGGATAACACAGTGAGAAATCCAATTAAATTCAAAGGAAAATGTCGAGTCTGGGTTTCTCTCACCAAGTCTGAAAATACTGCTGTATTTGTATGAACTGACCCTTTGCTTTAAGTTAGGGGTGTCGCAATAACCAAGATATTTAGAAGATGAAATACTGACATCATGTTAATAATACACATATGAAGTAATCCAGAGCCAGTGTCTGGTTGACACTCCAACTAAGTAGGTGGAGATTGACAGTATGCACAGTAAAGTTTAAGATGAAGTTTATTATTATTTGGTTTTTTCAAATGTACTGTAGATATTGTGATTTTTTTTTTTGGGCCATCATAATTGTGCACTGAAAACCTGACATGGTGACAGCCCTACTTTCAGCTAATGAATGATGAATCTCTATTTTCACAACATCAAAGTATTTTGCAGATTACGTACTATGACATTTTCCCAGTCAGCAAACACGAAGATGATTTCTAAGACCTTATCTCCATCATCTGCTGGCAGCTACCAGAGGTGGAAAGTAACTGAATACATTTACTCATGTCATCAACTGAAGTACAGTTTTGATGTATTTATATTTTGAGTATTTCCATTTTCTGCTACTTCATACTCTGACTTCACTACATTACTGTATAATAATGATGAAGATGTTTTGATCCTGGGTAGAATATAATGCTTTCAGCTATTAAAATCAAAACATCATATAGGGTAGTTAAAATTAGTTCCATCTAACTAGATACATCATTAAAGTGATGGACATAATGCATCATTACTTTTACTTTTGGTACTTCAAGTATATTCTGATGCCAATACTTTTGTACTTGAACATTTTGAAGGCTTTTACTTGTATTTTTACACTGTTGTATTGTTACTCTTAAGTAAAGAATCAGTACTTCTTTCACCACAACAATCAGTGGTTAAATGGTCTGGCTTTTGTAAAAATCAACCTGGATGAGAGGAATTTGTAGTCTCACTGTTTAAAAAACAGAGGACATGTAGAATCCTACAATATCTGACTGAAAAAGCAAAAGCATTACTGACATTTTAAGGTTATGTTGAGGCTACACACAGCACTGGATGAATATTAAAAAGTCACCAGGCTGCTGAACAAACGCAGAAACTTTTGGGTGGCTGTGCTGGATGAGGAAGTTCTCCTGTCAGCAGCGGGGTGGTACAGCAGAGTGCCTCCCTACTTGTTTGACTTGTAAATCGATGACTCACCCAGACAGTTAAACGCTTGTAAAACAGGATGTGTTATGATTAATCATGATTTAGTTCTATTTCCTCCCTGCTCTGCTGGTCTTCAGTTTAGAAGGTGTGTACAGGCTGGCACTTCTCCTCTCACATCTTGGTGAGGACAGTAACTTATACCACTGCTGACAACGTTCGCGCTCACCACAGACCGAACACCATGTGATATTCTACCTCTCCCTCTGGACTGCTTCATTTTATGCCATATGAAGGTATTTATACTCTTCCTCCAGCCTTTGTGTTTCACTATCCAAATGGCGCTGGCCCTCACTTGACACAAGCCAAGCTCTCCCACCTGACATCTGCTCCCCACAGGGTGTTAGTGCACGAATGTGTTGAGGTGTGCATGGAGTATGTGTGTGTGTACGTGAAAGCTAAATTATAAGAAAGTAACTGTCTGAAACCAGCAGGAGTGAGTGTGGAGGACACAGTATATACGTGGTCAGCAGAGCATTAGTAAATCATGGGGATGGCTGTTTAATGAGCCCCGACACATGCAGCTCACTCCACGCACACCCACACACACACACACACACACACACACACACACACAGTAACACAGCTAAGACAGTTAGTCCCCTGAAAGAGAAGTTGGTCTCAGTTCTCTCTACTAAACAAAACTGTCCCACACAGACACCTCTGTCATACCGGTGACCTGGACCCGAGCTTCGTAGTTGCCGCTGATGACAGAGTCAGTACTTGGTGTCTGACACCAGTAGAACCCGGCGTCCAGCGACTTCACCTCCGCTATCTTCAGCTCGACCTGGTTGTCAGCGAGCCTCACCACCGAGATGTCACCAGACGCCACTCGCTGCGTCAGGGACTTGTCGGAGTAACTGGAGTCGAAGGTGGAGATGATCTTTATGGCCGTGTCGTCTAGGACTGCGGACTTAGACACCACCCACTCAAAATCCTGTAGGATGGAGAGGGAGAACAATGATTGCCACATCAGGTGAAGCTTATGCAGAACGGGTCCACAACTTTAGAGCTAAAACATTGAGACGCTATCGTTTATTATAATAACAAAGAGCCTGAGTTTCATTATGACTAATATGATTCTGTGTGGGCTCCATCAGCGATGAACCACAATGACATGACGTGTACTACTTGCCACACTATCTGGTCTAAATATCCACAATCCCTAGTGATTTTGGTGACCCCACCCCACCCCACCCCAACACTCTAGTTAATATTTACCTATGAACAACACTGGATTCCTGAAATGTCTTAAATGTTGTGGCCAAATGTCCAAAATAACAAAGAGCTCCATTTGGTCTTCTCGTCACATTCATAATACTAAAATACTCATATTCACATGACAGTGAAACTGCTCTCTATTTGCAGGGAATTCTGGGAAAAGGAATAAAACTTTCTTTATATCTTCAGGTCAGTCAGAAACAATACAAGACATCACACGTGCGACAAGGACATGTCTGTGAAGTTTACCTGCTCACGAGGTCCCGAATAGTCATTGACGTCACAGCTGATGGAGACGGGCTGACCCTCCACCCGGATTAACGGCCCAGGTGACACTGTCACCACTCGCGCTGAGCACCCAGCTGCAGAGAGGGAGATAAACAGTTCAGAGCTGCTGAAGCTGGGTTGGTAACATCAGTAAGTAAACCCCCTCTGAGCTTTATTGTGAGACAAATCCATGCTCTGTGCACTGACTCCATCCACATCTACCTGTATGTGTGGGGCAGCAAATCAGCTGTGTAAAACAGGCTGCGTTTGGACACACTCTCCCATCCAGTTCAATGGGGGAGTGTGTCCAAACCTTTGACTGGTAGTGTATACTGGCTAAGGAAAGCATTTCACATGTATGCTGCATTAGAGGCAAGCCTGGTGACTAATAACTGTCAGCATTAAAGCCTGTCGGTGTGCTGATGCCACAGTGACTTGAGTTTCATAGAAAATAATGACACTACAGTAGGTGTGCACATAATGGTCCTGTTTTAACATGCAGAACAGAAACCGGCACACATACAACAGGACTTGTTGTAACCTGTGCAGAGTTGCGTTATATTGATTATGACGCAGACGGTGCCAAAACCCGAACTACATTCCGAGTGCAGTACATACAGTTCTGCACACACACTCATGCCCGCATCATTGTGTTTGGCAGGCAGAGAAAACACTGGTCCCATCACACCTCAGCGATTCACCACAACAGAAACCTCATTTAACTTCTACTGGTTATCACTTAGTTAGTGCTGTTCGTCCAATCAAACCATCTGGTTCGCACTCCTCCCCAGTCAACGCGAGTGTTGAGCGTTAGATTCTCGTGACATTCCAGCTGAGGAAGTATGTAACAACACAACAAAGGTGGTTGGTGCACGGGCGCTCTGCTTCCTGGCTGGCGAAGCTTCAACCTGACGTGTGCACTCAGCCTCATGGCGGAGACGCTGCTGGGTTTATTAGAATTTGAATAAACAACATTCTCCTGCTTCTTGGCAGATTCTCCACCACAGTGTTCAAAATAAGTCAAAATCAATACTTGTGTTTTTGGCAGCTGGCCTGGTGTTACAGTACGTGTGAGAGCCTGCTGAGCGAGAGCTTTTTCTGCTTTAGTAAGTAACAAGTCACAGTGAAATAGTGTAAGCACCACATAAAACCCACTGGAAGCTCCTGTTTCTGTTCTCTCTCCCTGTCAGGAGCGGTCTATGGCTTGATTAATCTTTAACTTCACAACAGACAGACCAGAGAGACTGCTGATAAGTGAGTATAAAACTTCTAGCACAGGGCTGCTGCTGAAGAGATGCATTCAGCTCAAGAAAATCCAGTGTGAAGAGTGTCTGTGGATTCCTCTGCACCACTGAGTTAAGTAACAAAAGGACGGTAGGCAGGTAGCTCGGACTTTATTGATCTCACAAGGGGGAAATTCCATTCAAATCATTTCCCTAATTACTTTTTTCATAATGCAAGATTAATGTCAAAATGGCTTATGCCAAGACTGTCTGTTTTCCATCCTTTTGCATTTCAAGGTGCAACACAGTAAGATGTTTACTGTGTTCAAATGAGCACAGCATACAGTACAGTATACCTGGATGGTGTATGTGCATGTGGGCCAAGAGTGTTAGGGCCTTTCAGCAGTAAGTGGTAAGGTTGTTCTGAGTCTCACTAGACCCTCTAGGCTGAAAAGAAATTAAGTGGAGCCGCTTTAAATCAAAGGTCCATCAACCAACATAGAAATACACATACAGCTGTTTGGCATGTCTGTGGTGCACTACAGTGAAAATATCAGGACAGCCATTATGCATCAATGATCAATGACTGTATAAAAATGCAGCTTGTTACAGTAAAAGATGTCTGGTGGTGACATTCCTGGACAAGTCTCTCCAAGAGGCACATTTCATGCTCAAGTTGACACCAAAGATGGCTCCAGTGTCTGCGGGGACATCCTCAGGCCACAGAGCAGGTTTGAAATTAACTGAAGCGTGACAAGTGAACAGATCTATGGGAAGTACACTAACCACTTCTCCTTCTACAGCTCAGAATAGAGAACGGCACACCGCAGGAGAGCTGGTGACATCTGATCAGCTTGCATCGGACTAATTTAAGCCAAGTCTCCCCTCACACACCCACCCACACATACAGCACAACCCCTATGACATTCATGCTCACACACATGTGGTACATTCAGTATCGGTAAGCTCTGCTTAATCTTGTTTGTCCCTGAGGGAGAAACAAGGCCAGTGAACAAGCCTTGGTTTGTCTTTGTGGTGAAAACCAGTCTAATCACTAGGCACTGGTCTGGTCCTGGTTTGACTCTGCTGGGGCACAAGGCCAATAACAAGGATAATAAGCCTGGTCTGGTTTGTAGGTGGGCTAAAAGCTGGTCAGCCCATGCTGGCCAACTGGTTTTAGTGGAAGTCCAGTCTAACCAGAGACTGCCCCGGACTAGGATGGATGGAGGAACTACATCAAACTTGATTTCTTTTATTTTCTCTAAGCAGACCAGGACACAACTGTCACACTCACAGCTTAGTAAACTGATAGACACCAGGTTTGCTCAGGAGTCAACTCTGTACTGGTGCTCAATTAACCCATTAAGTGACTTCATTACATTAGCTACAGATCGAATGTACAGCGGTTTCTACAAAAAGGAGGCAGTTAATTTAAGGGGGAAATAGGCCTAGGTGCTAATGGCCCTCTCAGGGAGAGAGTCTGTGTCAAACTCCATTCAAAGCATGCCATTTTGGCATTTCTGCTCGTAGTCACAGACACATCTGAGAATTGGTTTAATTTTCCCAGTGCCTTGGATTCACACCTCGATTCGCCATTATGCAAAGCACAAAGCCACGCTTCTTTGCACTTGAAATTAAAGTTCCACTTCTTCCATCAAACTACAGATGGAAGCAAATGGCAGTGAACCAATATTTAAAAAGTTTCAAAACTGATCAGATATCAATAGTTGATTATTGATTACACATGCGCCGATGTGGCTAATGGATATCAAGGATTTGTCAAAAGCTTTAACTGGTCTTTTATGAGGTAAGCAAGTTTGCCGACAAGCAAGTCAACATTCATTTGACATATTTCTAAACAGGGTTTATGATCTCCTATCCGGAAACCAGCGACACCAGTGCGAGTTAATTAGCTGTCAGCAATCAATCAAAGAAACGTTTCTTACCGAGCACTAACAGCGCAAACCCGAGTGTGAGGAGACATTTATCCATTTCCATTCCTCTCTACGTCCACTCTGATCTTTTCCCCTCGTTTCCTTTGTCCTATGTAGGGGGTAAGACAAGTCCTCTCCCTCCGCTGTCCGAAAGCCCAATAAAAGTCTCAGATGTGTGCAGTCAGTGCGCACCGCACACCGGGCGGAGCCGCAGAGCAAAACGGTTGCGCACCGTGGTTCCTAATCCAGTAAAATGAGCATCCGAATCCTAAAGGGAGCATTTACATGGTCCACACACTGACATTAAACCGACGTGGTGTGTGCATGGGAATGTGAGTGAGATGGAAAGAAAGTGGCCGGAAGTAAGGTGACGGTCTGAAGGAGGAGGGCAGGGAAATAGGGAGGTCCCGGGAGGGAGAGGGAGGGAGAGAGAGAGAGAGAGAGAGAGAGATTGATTCCCAATCTCAGTCTCACACCGCCACACGGTGCAGATATTGGACTGGATTCCATGTCACATATTGTCCAGTCATCGTGAACCAGCCCCGGTGTCTTATTGTCGATACATTTCTATGTGTTTTAGGACAAAAATGCATCTAAACTCATTTCACTGTTTGACCTTTCCCACTTGTAAATTGTGTTCACATCAACATTCAAGTTGTAATAATGACTGGGATGAATTGTTCTGGAAAGTAATAAGTGCAGGCAAAGTTTGTTGCCTATATTCTGTTTCAAATGAAATGAAATGTCAAGAGCATTTTAGCGCATTCTCGTGGTCTCAAACACTGGGGTTCAGTCCATTTTTCTTTATATCTGCAGTAGGTGTCTTTCAGAGCAGTTAAAAATGATTTTGCAGCCTTGAGGTCGTTTTGAAGCAGCTCTCGACAAAATAAAAACAGAAATATATAAAGGACCAAAACACTGAATTGATTATAATGATAAATATTAAAAATGACACCCACCTTCTATGGGTGACAGGTAAACACAGCCACCAAAGAGTAGATGTGAAACCACAATGTTCCTTGCAGGCTGCTGTTCTAACAAAGTTGACACATTCTGTCCTGTGGCCAGACCCACGCTGTGTATTTACACTGGACCAATGGGCAGGACAAAGGTCAGCGCTGGTCAGTCTGTCTGTGACAGGCAGTGGGGAGCAGGAGGGTCAGAGGAGGTAGGACACTTGGCTTTGAAACCTCACGGTCAAAGCTTAAAACCTCACACCTCATCTGCTCTCATACATTTGAGAATCCTATTTTTAAAACATGTTTCAAATGTGTGTGTATTTGTGTGTGTGGGAGGGGGCAGAGTGGAAAATGTGTGTAGACCACTGATACTTACGTGGTGTCATCTGTTGTCACACAACATCTGTTCAACAGCCTTATCCTACTGGCCTACTCTCCTAACAGTCATTAACCAGGACACGGGTTCTGCCTTTCATTTAGATGAGAAACCACTAGACTTGAAAATGTTTTTTCACTTGTTTACAGATTTGTTCACAATAAGCTGCAAACAATAATATGATCATTTACACAGAATACAATTGGAAAACCATCAAACAAACTGTCACCATCAGCCTGAACCTGAACTCCTGGAGCTGTAGCAGTAATACTCGTCGTTTCCTTTGTAGTAGTTACAGCATCTGGAGCTTGACCTGTTTTAAAATAAATACTTCAGCTTTTGATTTGAGTTCTTCTTCACGTAGATCACAGCTGCAACAAAACTGCAATCCAGTTCAAACATTCAGAGGGTGATTAAAGAAACCAAGTGATTCACTGACACAGATTTAATTCCGACACCTGCTCCCTCTCACTGTGACGGTTCTGGCAGAACTTTTTAAAAAGCTGGGTTAGGTTGGATCACTCTGCAACAATCTGCCTTCTATTACACAAACCTTTTCTTGTCACAGGTACAAAAACATGAAGGAACACTTGTGATTTATTGTAACGTCAAGACCGAAGAAACAAATGTTGAGAAAACATTAAAATCCTTGAGACGGCTGCATTTGTGTTCACTGGAAGGCCATTCTGTTGTAGTGAGAGGAAATAACCGACAAGCCAAGAGCTGACTTGTAGTAGTACTAGTAGCAGTGCTAGTCCACTGTTGTATAATAGTTTTATCATCCAGTTTTACATAGTTTTATTACAACATACCTCTGATTTTAAATTTTTGGTCAAAGCTGTATAATTGATGAAGAAATGCTTCCAGAGCTTCAGCGGCAGACACACTGGACCAACTATGTGTTACATTAAAAACTCTACAGGCAAACACAGACATTAAAGACTGACCATAACTTAAACTACATGCAACTGAGTTTGGCCTGATTTTCGATTTCGACAGTGTAGAAAACACTGCTGCAGCGCCATCTCCTGGCCACACAGTGAGTTGACTCTGCTTTCATTAAAGTGGAGGCTTTTTTACAAAATAGATTTGTGAGGTTTTTTAAAAACTTCCATCAGCTGATTTTAAATTCTACTAGTTTAATCATCATATTTTATTACTGTGCTTCACGTCTCATCCGTCTGCAGTGTTCATATTCACATGTGTGTTAATTAAGAGACAGCCAATGGTGTGATAATGCACAAAGAGCAGCGGAATATGTCCTTTAATGTCTGGCTCTGCTGCTGTACCTGGAAAACGATCACGCAAAAGTACTTCAAGGTAACGCAAAAGTACTTCAGGGAAAAAAATCACCAATATGACCTTTTAGCGGGCTCCGTACATATTTAAGAATTATATTGAAAACAATATATTAAGAAGTGAGGCAGTGGTGTAAATATAGAAATAAACCTCCAACTAGTAACTGAGTTTTTTCAGGGGTATAATTTAAATTTATAATGGATGTAGAGCACCATCTTGTGAGACATAAATAATATAGTCACTGAACACACTAACATGAACCCACTGTTACTGTGATAAGTAGATCACCTTGTTAATGAATCCCACTGGGAAACTGCAGTATCACAGTAGCTGAGTCACATTAATTATAAAATACAGTCTTTAGATGGGAACCAAAACACAATCAAAGCCAAATCAGATGAACAACAAAGAGAATAAAATAAATACAATCCTAGGCCCATACTCTCTGACCCTAACACATATAATCTGAACAGTGATAGAACCAGTTATATACTATACTGTTATGGTCTACAAGGCAGGTGTTGATTCTGTTACTAGTGAATTTTACACACTTTCCAATTTATTAAGTTGCTACACATGCACACCTCTTGTTACTGGTTTTGTGAGATACATCAACAGGGCATGAAATGTATGAAAATAAGGTCATAGCAGCAGTGTGGGCGTAAAGCCACAGCAACAGAGCACAGCGAGACAGAGAAGTTTTGAGCTGATGATTAAAACACATCTAAATGTATGAAATACAATTAGATCGCCCCAGAAAAGAGGCACAGATGTCTCTGATAGTGAATATCTGTTGCCATAAAGCTGAAAGCATAAACACACAGACAGCATTTTGTACATACAACCAACACTCAAAACCACAAATGCATTTTGAGCGAAAAGACACAGGATATGTGACTGACACACACACACACGCCGTCTGCAAACGCTGCTCTGTGCATGCAGCCTGAAAAGCTGCAAGCTGAAGGTGATGCAGTGTGAAAGATTCACTTCTGCTGCTTATATTTTAGTAGATATGTCACATCACAATTTATTTAAAAACATCACTGGTTTCCATGTGAAAAGTACAAACATATGCATGCAGCTTCACAGCCTTGGTGGTACAGATCCTTAAAAGGTGAATGCAGACTTGAATGATGCTTTTTATATTATTACATGTACACCCTTTATGCACATCATTAGTATGGTCCTTTCTCTGAAAACGTATCTAAACCTCACAAGAAGAGCATGTTTCTAAAAATAACACATATACGTACAATATCTAGTTTGTCTGGAAAAGGAACCCATTTCTCTGTGTGATCCACACATCAGCAAGTCTTCATCAGTATTTATCATTTTACAACACAAATACAAAAAAGAGCATTTTAAAAACTGCATGGAAGTATGCATAAAATACAAACCACTGTCTTTCTCTGAAATTTGAATTAAAAGCTGTTGTGAAAACACTATTTGTGGCTGAAACACTGACTGGAAAGGAGCCACAGGGTACAAAAATACTCATGTTTTCCCAAGTTGCTGTAAAGTCTTTGTGGCACACTGTAAATGCAACCATAGATGACATTATGAAATAGATGGGATGTACAGTATACAGACAACAGCAACAAAAGAAAAAAGAAAGCTCGAGAAAATGAGATGAACAGTTTGACATTCAGAGCAAAGATGATAAACGGATGGAAACAACTGGCCTGACTTGTAAAAAAGTTTTTTTGAGGGGGTTGTGTTTGGCACCATTTCTTGAATAAGCACACTAAATTCCTGGAGTCACTGTGTAGTTGCCAGGCAACCAGCGAGATACCCTCACTGGCCACTTTATTAGGTGTTCCTGATATTCTGACCCTCTCATGTATTTAGCTGGGGAGGACAAAAATATAGAAACACCTCTGAATATAATGCAGTCCAGTACAACACCACCTTAAACTATGACCTCAATAATAAACATAAAATTTAATTTATACATTTATGACAATTTCACCAAAAACAGAAACATTCTGAGCTGTATAAACACAGACGTTAAGGTGGAAGTGTTGCACTGAAATGCATACAATTGTACAGCTGTACCTAATAAAGTGGCCTGTGAGTGTATGTTAATTAGTGAGCTTTAGGTCACTGATTGTTCTGGTACATGAGGACAATGGTTGGGGCGCGTGCTTCATGTGTATCTGGAGGATTAAACAATGTATCTATCCACCACGGGGCGGGTTAGGACTCAAACGTAAAACCAGAAGAAACCAGATTAGAACCCCCAATAAAAACTATGAAAAGCAAATAAAATCAGGCATAAAACCACGTTCACCCAGGGTTAGGGTGAGGACTGGCCAATAACCAGGAGCTTCTGGGAATCTCACTATGTCCCTCCATTGATGGAACAGCTCATCATTTTTAATTCTGCTTCCATGCTGAACAGAGTCAACTTAGAGTCAAGCTCGTCTTCCTGAGATATTCACTTGTCTTTCTTTCTGGTATTTGACTTCAACACTCAGCTGTCAGTTTATTAGGTACACCAAGCTAAAACTAAGTCAGTCTAATCCAACAGTGTTGCAATAAACCCTCCTTCATGAAGGAGGAACAACAAAAGAAGGAGGAAAGAAATGTTGTGCCAAAGAAAAAGTCCTTACACATTTGGCATTCACTTTTTATCTTTGCAGCATTATTTGAAAATGGAGTCTATTCATTGGTCTTTGGCTGAGGGGTTAAAATAACACCTAGCACCAAGGGATCCATGTTGCAAGCTAGTAACACCACACCGATACTCAGCAGCTCGCACCACCCCCGTCTGAGCAAGATGCAGAAGATAATATGTTTTATGGTGCAATGGAAACACAACTGCGCTGACTCAGGAGCAGCTCAACATGGCTGCGCGTGCCACAGCTCTGTGGGGCTGGTGGAAAAACATTATGTATAAAGAGGTGTTTCTCTTATTCTGTCCATCCTGTTTGTATCAGTGAAGGTAGGTTGTAACAGAAATACCTCTCAGTGTTAGTTATAGGTAGGTGTACTAATAAACTGGCAACTGTATAAGTCAAGATGACATGATAAAACTGATACGAGGATCACTCTGGATAATAGTTTGAGACATATTGTGCAGTAATGGGCTCATCTGTTTCCCTCTCATCCATGAGAGAAACAGACAAGCATAGAATAGACCTAAAATGAAAGAGGAAAAGAGGAAAATAGCTAGTTTGATATCTTGGTATCTTGTCTTCAGGTCTGGTCTTATAATAGCTATGAAACCAAAGGACAGACACTGCATTTTGAAGATCACCTTATCGTAAAAGTCAAAGCCTATGAAGACTCATAGTTTGAATTCAGCATATTTGATTTTGCTAATTATACACCAGCTGATAACATCTATCTGTTTGTTCAACATGATTGTCACCACATCCTGATGAAAGTTTCCTCATCAAGTGACTGAACTCTGCCTGACTTCTTCTTCAGAGGAACGGAAACATCAGTGGAGAAAAAGTGAATGGGGAAAGACAGAAGGTTTATGTTTTCTAAACTGCGGCACCCTCGTGGTGTCACACTCTTGGTGTTCTGGCTGTTTTCCTGGGCTGAGGAAGAGGAGGAGGTTGCTCCTCATCGTCATTAACAGCGGGTCTGTGGGCCTGAACCTGAAGGGTAGTGAAAAATACCAGCATCAGATGGAATGTCCCACTGGCAGCCTGCAGCCAGACAGCACTGATGCTAAACACTAAAAACACACTGCAACAATTTCTGTCTGGCTGCTTGTGTGTTAACATGTAACATCACTGAGCAGCCCAGGAGCCGATCCACATCCTACCTGTGCAGCTCTTCTCGGGCTGGGCTGAGGGTTAGCGTTGTCGGACTCGGGGGCTCTGAGACGCTGCTCGCGGTGCTGTTTGGAGCGGTGCTGGCGAGGGCCGGTGTGGCCGGCCTGCTGTGGCTGGCGTTGCTGATGAGGCTGTCGACCAGGAGGCTGACAGTGTTGTTGTTGTTGTTGTTGTTGTTGGGGATGCTGGTATTGTTGTTGCTCAGGATTGGCCCAATCCAGACGAAGTTCCTCCTCATCTGTTTAATATGGAAATTAGTAGGGATGGTGGGTCAAACAAACAAAAATGTAAAACCAGTTTAAGTTCTTCAGATGAAGAAGCATTTACACTGTATGCATATGCTTTACAAATAATACAATAGTACACTACAAGTATTACTGTATATCAGAACATGGTTTGAAAGTCCTGGTTGCTTCAGATAATCGGGCTTCAATCATATTTGTTACCCACATATACCATGAGCCTCCAGTGACTTAGGGGTTAGGTTGTGGTCATGCTGAAGTTTGCATGGTTTGTGTGTGGCTGCTGTTAATTCACCACATATATCAGATCTGAGAATGTCTAGAGTCTGTCAATCAGGTATGGATAGTTACCTTCAGATGACTTTGTTTCACTGCTCTCAAACACACTGCACTGCTCAAGTACCAACCAGGCACCGCTGGCAACAGCCAGGGCCCAAAACCACAGGGTCACAGAGCTCCACGCTCACTGCATGTCAGCTGGTTTGTGTTGATTTTATTACAAATGAGTTTGGGAACATGCACCACAGAAGCACAACAACTGACATAAAGTGAATCCTGCATTATTATTGAAATTTAAAGACTTTCTTTATGTCAACATATTGTTTACCAGTGGTATGATCATAATCTGGCATTTCAAAGTTATGGGTAGGGTTGGCAAATTTCCAGTGGATTTACAAAAGCCACATGGTCAAAAACAACAACAACAACAACAACAACAACAACAACAACAAAACTCTTACCCTTTTGCCGCATGCGATTTTTCACTTTGGCCCGGATGAAACAAGCAACGACCATGACAATCAGCAGTACGACAATACCTGATGAGGATGGATGATAACAGTTTGTATAAGACATGTACAAATCATTAACTGCATATTAAATGGGGTGTAATTCCTTCAAGATGAATTCCTAATACCATCTGCTGTGAGGAGAGATGTATACATTTACATGATGCATTAGTGGGATTCAGCACTCTGCGACTCTGTACAGGCTGTAGCTAATGGATGGATGGATTAGTACATAGAGTACAATGCTAAAAAAAAAGCAAACAAACATACCTGCTCCGCAGCCCACAATAATCCAGCTATTTATTCCCCATATTTTTTCAGGAAATGTATAGCCTTAAGGAGAAAAGACAAGGAGAGGAAACTGATTAGGCATCAGTTCAATGTATTTTATTTGAATAACTGGTTTTATTAAATGAAATGGTGTGACTATCTCACTGAATTAATGCACTTTCCCAGAAGCCTATTTATTATTTTGTGTTGGCAGTACAGTTCAGATGAAAAGGTTCAGACAAACAACCTGTTTAATATAGAGCATTTCTAAATGATTCTTCTATGAACCATATTTAAATAATCTGTAATTTCCACCACATATGAGGTAACTGTGCTGTTTCTAACAGACCATACATATGTGGGTGTAATAACCACTGGATGATACCCACCAGACTGATACCCACCGGCCTTATTGCAGTTTAGTGTTACAGGCTCACTGGTCATAGATTTGGCTTCATTGTAAATTCTGCATGTTAATTCACCGTTTTTCACCGGCTCAGCTTTTTGTGTAAGAGTTGCTTTTTTCTCATTCTTTAACACATCTTTATTCTTAAGCCATTCGATGTTGAACTTCTCGATCTGTTGGGTACAAGAAACATTGATGGATGGATTAGAGGGTTGTCATGAGGATAAGCAGACCTTCAAGTGTAACAGAAAAGACCTGGAGTAAAACCATGTATGACAATTTAAACTTCAGAAACTCTGGACTAGACCACCAAGTAGGTCCAAACATATTTTTGTTTTCTTGCGTTACGGAGGCTGAGCGCTGTTTGGAAAGCTCAAACCAACATGAGCAAAAATGGTTGAGTGGAAAAGTTTATCATTGACCATGGAGAAAGCACTTAGACAAGAATCTCAACCTCAGGGTCTTCAGTGGCAGGAGCTTCTATCTACGTCTATGGAATAAGATAACAAGTGGACCTTGAGATTTCTTTGTGCTGTAAAATGAGCAAGTGATCAGCAAACAATGCCCTCCAACGCAAATAAAAACAAAAGAAAATCTGTGAATGGAAGGAAAGTAAAGCTGGATTTTGCTTTTCACACATTTTACTTTCTTAACTTCAGTAATAAAATAACAAATCAGAAACTCAAACATCAACAATTACCTCAAGTGCTGAACTCAAATCATGTTTAGACCTCGTCTGTTGACAGATTCTACAAACACATCTTTATGGGGAAATCCTTTAAAAAGACTCCACATGAAGCTTTGTAAATCAGACATACTGTTAGTTTGCTCTCACCTGCTTAGCGCTGCAGGTAAATTTGGCTGGTGATGAGGAACAATCAATCTTCACTGTGGGCTTAGGGACGAGGTCTGAGGAGATGACGTTTGATCAAACACTTTTATACATTTTAAAAATACTAATTATCATATCGAGACAAACAACATATGAAAACAGATGTAATGATCTGAACTAATAACATATTAAGGCAAATGTGCTTTTCTGATGCTAGTTAATTATACTACACATCTGTAACAGCATCTGGCACATCAAAACACAGGTAAAGACAGCAAACTCCTGGCCGCTGTAATATTTCCGGTTCATACCAATGTAAACATGTTGAACAGCTAAGGTAACAGTGAGAAGTGTTTAGATAACTACAGACCTTTACTCATGAGCCAGATAAGGTATAAAGAGGGGTGGAGAGTATTATATAATTGTATAAACAGAGGGCATCTGCTAACAAGTTGTTACCTACCGAATACACACACTTTTGCCACCTTGGCACCAATTAGTTTCCCTTTATTGTCGTAATAATTGGCCTTGTATGTCCCTTTGTGACTTTTCATCAGCTTTTCCATCTTCAGGGATCCATTTTCATAAACTTTACCCTGACGCTGTTTGTCATCCAGGGTAGTTTTCCTTTTTCCATCTTTGTCATTTGGTCCATTGTAGATTTTAACATCGTTGTACATCCATTCCAGTTTATGTATGTTTTGCATTGAGTAGTCCAGAGGCACCTCAATGGTACCACCCTCTTCAACATTGTGGTTGCATTTCTCTTTGGAACAAAAAGAAAGGTGAACAATTTTATTAGATTAAATGACAAACTTAGCAGTGATTTTAACAAAGGCCTGCACATCCCATGACGAGTTATCAAACTCAGCAACAAAATACTGTAATATGTTCTCCATGCTAACTCCAGTGCTGCTGATATTTGTGTTCTTATAAGCCTAAAGCCTGTGGAGTATTCTTTGGACGTCACTAAACAAATCCAAGATCTAATGAGTAAAACTGGATTTTCTAATCCCAGCTAAGGTTATGTGGAAACTTTAGTTCTTTATCCCTCACCTAAATTGGTGATCAGAAAAGTTGGATTCATCTGAGATAAGTGCACAATCTCATGCTCAGTGACTGACTATACATATACCTAAAGTATGTCGCCACAAGAATCAGTGAGCACAAGTACGGCCCCTTCAAAAACTGTGTCATACATGAGTGATAAATGAAAGCCCAGGTTTCTACACTGCATGTAAACATGTTCAATTTCCTGCATGACCCATTTTCTCTAAACAGGTTTGGCCATTGCTTTTGATCCTGCTAACGGGTGCTAACTGGATAATCACGGTAGCAGCAGCAGTCGTGAAAAGTGACATGAAATAAAACTGTTATTATGAAAATAAGAAGGATCCATTTTATTTTATAATAATTCATTAATAATTGTAGAATATTTTGATATTTTCCTAAATGTATTCATGTGGAGATTTATTTCATAACTGTTTATACATTTAATATCAAACACTGGTCCATAATAAACACCTCTGCAGAAATGACACTGAAATTTTGGCAATACTTTATCAGGAAAATGAAAAATGATTTTTGTTGATGAATCTCATGATGGAATATGCTTTAAAAAAGGACGACTGCTTAACCAGAAACAAACAAACACACAAACTGAGACAGTTCGGCTCAGCATAAAGAACACTGAATCAAATTCTTCATCATTAAATGCTTTTAACCACTGAACAAATTCTAATTCCAGGAAACGACAGACAAATGGCCTTTTATGGTTTACCACATTTTCACACCTCGCAGGCTTTGACATGTTGATGAAACTGCCTAAACATGAGTTCTGATACTTAATTATAAGAGACAATAAGCTCTTCAAACTGTTACTTTTTGATAATTACACTTCATTGTCTGAACATCGATCACATGGATCTTTATTCCTATATATTGACAACACTGACTGGAGTTTACGCTATTGTAGAATTTTCTGAAAATGTAAAAATAAATTACTATTTCATATTTTTGATCAAGTAGTTTGTTTAGAACATCCAGCACCTTAATGTATAATTTATGACACATTTGACCAAAGTTTTACTTTTGATAAGAGACTAACAAGTGAGTTCAGTGTTAGTGTGCTATATGCTCTGTCATGTATTTTTAAATCTGGCAAGTTTATTACAATACTTCTCAAAAAATAAACTGATTAGATCTAAAATAACTGATTCTGAGAAAACTGATTCATCACACTAACACGCTGCTGATGTGAGTTGGATGAGGACACACAAGAAGCAAGGCAGAAGTGTTTTAGGACGGGCGACCAACAGAAGCAGTGGAAATAATAAGAAAAAACTGATTTTTATACCATTCAGGAATAAATTTAAATCGAAGTTTGAAGGATAAACAGTATTATACAGTATTTATAGTTATAAAACAACATAAGAAATAACTAATGCTGAAAACATGAAGAATCACCACCCACAATGTAGCAGAGAAAAAAATACAGAAGTAAAGAATGAGAAGTGTTACTTGGTTGGCCAGAGAATTCAAACCTGATTTTTAAAGGAATTAAAAAAAAGAAGTTTTGCTTTTAAAAACCTCATGAACATTAGAAAACTGATGCTTATGGAGAAGCCAAACGCATCATTTATATTGTACTAAAAATCCACAATTACACTACTAAATGAGAGCGAGAAGTGTATTCGTTTATTCTTACAGTACCTTCGGAAGCAAAGACAGAGCAGCAGACCAGGAGCAGAGAGATGGTGGAGAGCACAGCCATCTTCACCATCATCCTCACCATATTCTGCTGAAAAGAACAACTGCTTTCCGTTATCAAGGTTACTTCCTGTCAGAGCAGTTAGATCAACTCGTTTGTGTGTGTGTGTGTGTGCTTATGTCACTGAAGAGTTATGTCTTTTTGGTTTCTAAAGGAAGTGATCCTTAAGAGGCCCTCCCTGCTTTTGCCGTCAAAGAGCAACGCGCGGTAAGCAAATGCCATATTTAGGACAAAAAGAGTGAAGTGTGGTGGTTATGTCAGCTTTTTTGCTTCAGTAGCTAAAAATACAATGTGTGGCCTCCACTTCCAGATCGACGGTGCGGTGGGGAAGGTGGGAGGGGCTGCTTTGATTATGCAGATTGCAGGAGGGCCTCCGTGCAAATACAATGTGTGGCCTCCACTTCCAGAGCATTATGACACAAACCAGGCCTAATACAAACACCAAACAATTACATTTTTAGCTGGAAACCATCTGCCTCTTGGACAAGTTTTGTTCCAGCCTAAAAACTGACATAATGAACGAACGTTACATGCCATCACTTGTTCTCTTGCCATTTTCCACTGTCACTGTGCATCTTCTTGATTCAGATCTAAATCTTTACATCATGTTTTGTGACAACATGCCCTCTCTAGCTGCTCTGACTTATTAAAACCTGCAGCACACATTCGTACACTAGCTCAAACCTTAACAGGAATTTGACTTACCAAAAACATTTTATCACGTTTGTATAGTTAAAAACAAGGATTCCTCTTACAATGTCAGTGTCAAAAGAAAGTAAATTAAGGGAGAATAAAATGCTTTTGTTTATTTGGCCAAGGATAAATGAACATTTAGAGGAACTGTGACTCTGAGATGCTGAATACCTCACGTGCAAACTCCAAGAGAGAAGAGCTCTGTGAGTGAAGCATCATATTGTATTTTTTACTGTTTTTTTAACAAAATGTCAGTGTGATGAGCAGCATGAAGCTGAAGCCACTGGTTATAGTTTAGAACTGTATTCCATCATCTGTTGGCTGCTTCAATGCGCAAAGAATATTCTCAGACTTTTCACAGTAAATAAGTTTTAAACAGACACTAACTGTGAGCTGTGTGACCAAGACCAGTGGTTTAACACATGAATTATAGCTTTAGTTCACACCAAGGAGAGACATATTAGTGATTAGTGTGAAGACAATTATCTGTTGCAGAAGTCATTATACTCAGTTTCACATCCTCCAGCAACTTTATACTCCTTTCACTTTTGATTTTACTACCCTGAACTTGTTCCCACTAGTCCTATGGGTGTTTGTAAACACATGTGCGACAATAATATTTTTGCATTCCACAATCGCTGTCTTCTGGGCGTATGGAATTCAAACTGTATACACACATTAGAAGCACAGGAAACAATGCATGTGTGAACTATAACAATACCGTTCATGATTTTATCTCATCCACTCACTATTACAACACACTACTTTTTGTCACAACAGATGTCACCAAATCAACCTTGAATCAAATATTAAGGTTTGTAATTGTGATATATTAATGTATCGGATTTTATGATCTCTGATTTACAACATTCTGTATCACATATAAGCTCTTGAATACTTTTGAATTGTGGAAAACCTGCACTGTATTCAAAACAGGTCGTCAAATTTTTTCCAGTTTGAGCCCCACATTCATGATGTTACTATCATCACCACACAACACTATATGGGCACTTATATGCCCACATTCAGACCAGTATACTGGACTCAGCTCAGTTATTCACCTAATTAAAATTAAAAATTAATGTGATGGACATTCAACACAGCAGGCAAATCACAGTCTCCAATGAAACACCCACACAGATGACGGTATCAATAATAACCTCAAAAGACAGTAACACTTACTCACTGTAATGGAACTTCCTTCAATAAAGGGGCTTTTTAAAAATATTTTTTTATATAGTGATATGTATGGATCACACTCACACCTACGGACAATTTAGAGAGAAACCTAAATTGTGTGTCTGAGAACTGTGGGAGGATGCACCAGTAAACCCACTGAAGAACGTGAAGCTCAGCCACAAGGGTTGAACTGGGAACCTTTGTGCTGTGAAGAGACAATGTTAACACTGCACCACCTTGTCGCCCTTTCTTGCTTTTCTTTGTCATCAATTTTTTAAACTAAATATCTGTGAATATTTTCACATTTCACTGACTAAACCTAATCAGCAGATAATAACTTCAGATTAATGAGCTTCATTCATCAGCTTCTGCTAAATGGTTTATGTAATAAAATAAAGACATTTCAAAGACAATATTAATATTTAAAATGTTGATTACAAATACTGCACATGCTAAATGTCAGGGTCAAAGTAAAAAATGCAGAACAACAATGTTCTGTGCCACTGCGTAACTTAAAGACAAAGACTGAAACAAACAAACCCTGTCACCAAACAAATTAAACTCTGGTCCCCAGAGACTGAAGGCACCCTGCAGGACTGTTTCACCCAGACAGACTGGGATGTGTTTAAAGCTGCAGCCACCTC